AGCTCCGGTGGAATAAAATATCAATCGATGAATACGAGTGTAGGTCCCGTCAAATTGTCCGGATAAGACGGACAGACAAAACGGCTGGACTCATTCACACGAATAGGATGGGAAGAATTATCCATGATATGCAGGAGATATCTTGGCTCTTTAGGGCAAGTATTAGTTAGTCTGGTGACTGGCGGGAAATTCGACCCCAGACTGTGCAGAATTTCTCCGGCGCGGGGAATAATCCGTCATTACTGATTATTGGCTGATCTATCGCAGAAAGGTCGATGCATTCGGCAGTTAAATGGAATAGCTAGCTGTTATCTCAAGCATTAAGTGCCCTCTGCTAGCTAAGATGTGCGCTGAAGGTTCATTGAAAGATTTTTAGATCAACCTTACTCGCCAGATATAGTTCCATACCAGACTCCGGGGCTCCTACCCCACAGATCGTGCACTTATATCACATATCGTGTATGAGTCGAGTCAATTTCGAGAAAGCCTAGATTATATATTTTTTTATATAAGTCTATCGAATCTGGACCTAGAGAGTATTACCACCCCATCAGCTAGAAAACAAACACTATAAAATATCCCGATATTGTACGTATTATATATATCGCTACTATAGCGCTAAACTTGTATAACTTCGGTAATATTCACATTAAATATTACCTCTACTATCTTTATATGCTCTCTAGGCCTTGACAAGTGCAGCTGCACCTCGAGAAATTTGGTGCAATTGCCCGGTGCAGCGAACCCTGGTGCAGCTGCACCCTCTTGGCAGTGCAGCCAGGTGCAGCCAAGGCCAGATTTAGCCACGAAATTACCCCAGTCGGCTTGATACCGCCGATCTGGTAACTAACAATGCCGTAATTTACATAAATTACATATATAAGTCACGGGATAAGCCGAATTAGGAAATGTTCGCATTGTTTATAGTGCAGCTGCACTACAGCCAAAGTATCGCTGCACCGAACCTCGCCCTTGGTGCAGTCGGCCCCACGTACCACTGCACCGAACTAAGGCCTTGGTGCAGCCACTGCACCAGTACCGCTGCACTTGTCAAGGCCTAGGTCTCTCCTTAGCAGGGTCTTTCATGCAACCCCTTTACTACTAAATATCAATATCACATATACATCATATAGATTGCCTTTCCTTTAACGAACCCTTTGAATTACTGCTATTGTCTGCGTGCGTCAGACCGAGCTCAAACCTTGTAATTCCTACGCATCGACTTCAACATGTACATTTACGTTATGTTATTATTAGATCAGGCTTTTCGATACCTAGGTACCTTTCTGATGTGATCAATCTCGGGCCGGGTGGCTCGGGCTCGGCATTAACAGGCTAAGATATCTTAGAAATAGAAGTGTAAGCAACGACTGGCAAGTCGAACGGATAACTAAATAATGGTGGATCAGATTAAACTGCTCATGACAAACTGTGGGAGCCTTGAACTCAGACCCAATTTCATCAAGAACCAAAAGTATTTAAAGCGGAGATAGAGGCTGTATAAATCTTCCACTTAACATCTCTCTTGTTTCATAAGATCTTTCCCTCCCGAAAGCCTGAAAGAACCCCAAAGATGTTGATTTGATTGCCGGAATTGCTGGCATGGTCGGTCAGCCTTTTGCCCAAGCTGCTATCGCACGAGGCCACGAGGTGAGAGGCATCGGCCGTGACCCAGCAAAGCCCCCAACAGAGCTTCGGCAAAACCTGGAGAGTTTCGTGGTTCAGTCAGGTGGACGCGGTCATCTGCGCATACGATTTCCTTCCGGAAGTCTTGGTCGAGGGCCAACTTATGTTGCTGAGAGCCGCTGAGCGCGCCGGAGTCAAGGTCAGTAAAAAGATATACCAGTCAAGCTACACAAGCTTTGAACAAACACCAATGGCTAATACTGTGTAGATTTTTCATGCCGCTTCCTGGAGCTACGATCGGACCTTGGGTTACATCGGCCAGCACGAGTCTTATGAACCATGTCTAGTTTTTGATGCCCAGGTCCGCATCAGCTCTCGCCTCAAGCCTCTCTACATCTTCACTGGTATTATCGCGGAGTGGCTGTTTTCCAGTCGCCGGGACCAGATTCGGGATCGAGAGACTAAGACGCTGTCGTATTTTGGTGATGGCAAGAAAGAATGGATCTGCACCACTGTGGATGACATCGCGGCATACACTGTTGAGGCGGTTTCCGCTCCCAATGCTGACAAGGGCGGTCTTATCCGGGTCGAAAGTTTCAGATTTACACCTGCTCAACTGGTTGAGACTTATGAGCGCGCGTGATCTAAAACGGCCTATTTGAAATACGAGGGATCACTTGACGATGTCGTTTCGATGGACACGAAGGCTCGTGAAATGACCTATCCTATCGACCATGAGGAGTATGTCTAATGGCAAAGATGGGATTGTTGGGCGGAAATCTAAGCGTCTCCCGTAATGAGACCCTAAAGTATCATAGTCAATTGGTCAGATATATTCAGAGATTCGATGTTGGGCAGAGAACGATGAGGCTCTCTTTACCATGCTTGTGTTACAACCAGCCCCATAGTACCCGCATTCAAGCGGGTTTGAAAATATGGTTCGGTCTTTTTTCTATTTTGGAAACATCCTAGTCGATCTTTAACAGGGGAAATACACGCTACTGTCCTTAAACGAGCCGCGTCTTGTCTTCATTCGATCAGCCGACCGCGGAAACCCAGAAGGTCTGTCTGTGTCCAAGAGAGAGGGAGAGAGAAAATGTAAATGATGAATCCCTTGGAACTTTTAGGAGCTCAAGCAGCTCCCACGATTCTTTGACAATTATACTGTCTCCCTTCAGAACAATCCTCATACCTAACCCGCTTCTTTTGTGGGGCTTGCTGGTGGAGTCCTTAGCCGCTTAGTCAAAGCCGATTATTCGGACCGAACCTTTATTGGAGCTTAGGTGGATGTTTGCCAAGACCATCGTTTCACCCTCCCAAAAATGTTTATTTTTATTTTTTTAATAAACGGGGGCAGGTAGGGCTGCACCCAAACAAGGATTTTGCCTCGTAATTATTCGTAATATTTGCCAAGATTTAATATAGTAAATGTGATAGATTACAACTTGATATGTATCTCAATAACCACCATTATATTTCTTTCCATTATCAGCCGATAGATGTTGATAAGATTTCTCACTATATACCAATTTGTAGGAAATCCAATAGCTGCATTGTTATGGTATCGCAAATTACGTGGCTGTGAGCAAGAAATATGTATATTTTGATCAACAAGTCATGGAATATCTCTAAGCTCCTTTGAGAGGCTAGATATCACCCAAAAAGCATTAGGCTAGATGGGAATCCCCATATACCCCATGGTTGTCAAATATCAAGTTGTAATTTATCGCATTCATTATACGTTTCGGACTACGCAGCTCGCCCGGGGAATACATTAGTAAGCTTACGTGATGTCAATCCAGCTTGTAACGGCAGCGCGTTTTTCATGAACAAGGGGAGGCCTTTCAAGATGAAACTCAATAGTCGAGTGGCAGTGGACGCTGCCTTTTTCTATGAAATGCAGCTAAACTACTCCCGGCCCACGCTCCGCGACATATGGGTAAAGGAGAAGAATGGCATGGCCGTCTTTGATATAGATGCACTATTTAGCGAGAATCGTGATCGAGAGAAAGAGAAAATATAGAATGGTAGCGCGGGGGAAGAATCAAGGGAGATCGATTTCTTGATACGTGTCTAACAGTCTGCTGCTTTAGCTCTAAGGAGAAATTGTTCCGTAAGTTACATGTGATAATAACTGATTCCTGGCTAATATAAGATAGTGGAACGTGCTATTACTGCTCTGAAAGACGTGTAATGGTGTCTAGAATCATCTGACTGTCTAAAAATTCCGCTAAAGACCAAGACTCTTCTCTCATCATTGGCCAAAGCTCGCCTTGGACTAGTGCTAGTTGTGCCATTTTACAATGTGATCGATGGAAAGGGGCGCGGACTTAACGTCCTGTTGCAGTATGTTAGCAAGGGCCATCCGTTACTTCTCGTCTGACTTTTCCTAGTGGCCCGCCTAGTGTTGGAAAGACCTTTACTGTCGAGGCAACTGCAGAGCGCTTCAACCTTCTGATAAAAACTCAGACTTTGACCAGATCGTCCCTACACTCTGGCTGGCATGACAGTCCGTCCACGCAGCAACGTTATTTGTGGCTGTGTTAGGCGCCGGCGTTTAAGTCATTGCTTGGCTAGCCAATCTCCGATCGGATACTGTAAGCGAGCGGGTACTAAGATTCTTGTAGTAGGACAGAATCGTGGCGGTGCACTTCGGGACCCCTCAATGTGTCAATGTGTCAATCTGATCACGCGTTATCCCCACTACCTGTACTCACATACGATTCATGGAAAATCCTCTTCCATCGGCTACTCCTTAGGAGACTTGCACCCTGCCCCTCTTCTCTTTAACTAGGCTGTGCAATGCTCTTTTTCTCTCCTTCTGTCCCAGCTGTTTAAGGATAGAGATACAATGGTGTGGGGATACACCACTCTATACTCCAGAACCCCCCGCTCCTTCCTCTTCGCCGTCGTTGCCAATGTTGGCCCCGATGGCGCCAGCCGCCCCCTGGCCGTAGCCTACCGCCAGGGCTGCGACCGCACCACTGCACTATGGCCTCCGGAGCGCGTACACCGTTTGGTAGCACACTCTCGCGCTAATCGAAATCCTCTCGGATCCCGCAAACCGCGCGCCGCTTGAGGCGGAGAGAGCACTCGCGAAGGACTGGTATCGTCGGTCTAAGGGGGGCAACGAGGCTCATATTAATGAGCGGCCTAGCGTTCCAGACTCGCCGCAGCCTCCTTTCGTCGTGCCTGACGGCCGCCATAAGAAGCCGGTGCCACCACGGCCCCAGTTGCCGTGGCATGATGACACGCTTAGCGAGTTCCCCTTTATAACGACGTGGCTTCTGCTAGGCTTGTTGCGCGACGATAGCGATGCCATTAATAGCGACAGCGCGCGCCCCGGCGACGTCCAGCTCCAACCGCTATCCACTATGTTTCGCGGCGACTGCACCGAGTACGGCCTTGTCGTTATCGACATATCCAACCTCGATAGCGGCGTGAAGTATGGTATTGCTGCGTTCCGTATGCACTATATGGCCGAAGTTCGGTACCGAGCGAGGTCGATAGGCTGGGATCCCGTCGAAGACGAGCCGCCTTTAAAGGAGCCTGACGTTATACTCGAGAGCTCGCGGCCTCGAGTGCCGCTATCTATTCATCAGTGGCTACGCAAGTACCACATCTACGAGAACTTGAAAGAGGACCCTAGCATCCTCAGACTAAAGGATAGGCCGCTTGTTGATGCTGCAGCCTTAGACTGTACGTCTGTTTTCACGTTACCTATGCGCCTGCGCTGACTTAGGAATGATAGACATTTGGCCACCGGAGCTTGAAGGTCAGGATACAGTTAAAAGCAAGGCTGAAGAGATTTTGCAAGGTCTCCTCTCAAGCAGTTCCGACTATCTGTGAATTCCTCGCGCTTCCCTATACTCAAACATATTTACACATATTTGCTGACTTGTGAAAACAGACTTTCGGCCATCAATGCAAACCACCCGCACTGAGGATACATCGACTACAACAACTGCCCCGCGCTGGACCACGTCACAAGAGCCTTTGCGGAATGCGCACATCGATTGTGCTATTGATAATTTGCTTCTTCTCACTCAGCAGCCCACCGAACCCCCCTTTGAGAAAACGGTAAGCGACAACCTCCAAAAGCTCGGCGAGTACCGCGAGCAGCTGCGGCAGCGGCTCGAAGAGGTGCCAGACACCTTAGGTCCGTCCGAGATCTCGAGCTACATTTTGCGTGTTGCGTACGCCGGACGCAGTCACCTCAACTGGGTCGCGTTTCAGAACCTTGCGCCCAGCGTGATCGCTGCCGCCATTGCATCTGATGGACTTCGGGACGCGTCTGCGCTCAGCCTTTGCGTCGATCAGTTTAGGCTGGAGGGAGACGAGGAAGAGGGAGACCTCGGTGATCTCGCAACGGTCCTTGCGCAGACCACGGCCCTCAAACAGCTATGTTTTTTGCAGCGACCGGACCGGGATAGTGACGACGCCTCCGCTTGTTTCTGCTCCCAGCTGCTGTTGCTGTGGGGGAGGGCATCAGGAGGAGACCTGGAGTGGCTCCGCACCAAAACCATTTATCCGACCTCCGCCTTTTCAACATCCTTGCGCAGCCGCGGAGTCCTAACATCGTCCTTGACTATCAGTCACAGCTTCACTTCCCCCGACGCCCTAGTCTTTCCCGTTGTACACATGTTCACGGTTGTAAATTACCAGCGCGAAGATGGCCCAGACGTAGCCGCAGACCACCACGTCCAGCAATACCAGAATAGTTCTAGTTATAGTTACAGTTACAGTGATTACTACGCCATGGAAAATACCCTGCTAGACGCTGAGAGCTTCGCCGTCCGGTTCCTGGCATATCTTCGGTCCTTGGGTTCGGGTTCGGGTTCCGAGAAAGCTATCTTGCAATTCGCACACAAGGGGGCCTCCTCGTCACTCACCACCACCACCACCGTTGAAGATGGCGACCACTCACCGCCGTCATGGTCATCGCGAGGTCAATTCGGTGTGAGCCCCATCCCCGCCGGATTTTTCGATCACGAGCTCCCGCCCAACGACCCGTCAAAAGTTAGACCCAGAGATATACATCCCGGCAGCTGGGTGGATCTTGTGGATCTTGTGGACTCTTCGGAACAGAACTCTGATCATATTCAGACGGTGGCGGAGATGCCACCTTTACCTCCACCTCCACCTAAGTGCCACGTTGGCCTCACGCTGACTGATCTATCTAACCTTAGGCAGCCCTCTGCCAATATGGACCGACAAGGCCGCAGTTGCAGTTCGAGAAGCGACGGTGGTGCCTTCTTACAATACTCTTTTGTCAAGATATGTCAAACCTCTGTCGAGATTGCACCCGAGCAACAACAACAAAGACCCGTCTCCGTCCCTAATCTCGCCCAGGTGGTCGGCGGGCTAACAAACTTCCTGCGCGAAACCGCACCGGGCAGCGATGTTTCCACATGGGAGGAACAGGTCGAGGAGGTAGAGAGGGACCTTCGCACGCAGCGAGCTTCCATTGGCACGGGGAAACGCTGCATCGACATCCGCGTCATGGCTAAGAGCAGGGCCCACACTTTGCTTAACCAGTTACTGTGATCCTGGTACCAACCATTCCAGCAAATCTTCATAGTGAACGTAACAGAACTGGACTTTTTTTTTTTTTTCTTGAGAGAGTTTTCCCAGCATATAAACCTAAAACTAGGCACGGAGCGCTGTTCCAACTCTATTCTGGCACTTTGGTAACAAGCTTCTTGCGCGCCTATAGGTAGGATAATAGATAGTATGTTATTGTAGCTATATAGTACACTCGCTGCAAGACACATGCTGCAGGTAGCCTTTCATTTGCGCCCTTGGGGGAGCTGCGACCTACTAGTCAAAGGTCAAAGCGGGTGATAGTTATCAGACATCACATTTCTCTTTTCTTCTCACTCAAAAGAAAAAGAAAAACAAAAAGAAAAAAAGATTCTATCTGTAGAATTTGAACTATCTTACCTTACGTTACTATAACATCCATCCTGTACATTATTTACCCTCGCCAACGAACCCTGTCTGCAGATGGATCAGCTTGGCAATGTAGATCATCTTGACCGGCTGACTATTTTCATGGGACATGGGACGACCCAACCTAAGAAAGGGAATTGTGAGTTTTTGCTTCCCGCTCACCTTGTATTACACTATGTTTTCATCGCTAATCTCTGTAGCTATTCTCTGGCAAATCGAACGACCTAGATGTTTTCAAAAGCATGACCGCTGATCAACAAGTCCTTTCGGCGAAAGAGCTAGGAATGGTTTTCAATTACATGAACGAACAGGTGGTTTAGGACAAGTTTTGCGCTACTTACGAGGCCACCTACACGCTCCTAGGCCAGTGGCAGACTTACTCTTACAACAACCCGAACGCCCCTCTCCCTCAAGGCCTCAACCTTCCAAACCACCAAGATGAATGGCAAGCTTAGATCAACACTGCTCTGGATTTAATTGTCAGCAACGGCAAAAGCACATTCAATCAGATGCATGCATGGTCGTAAGTCAGCATCAATTTCTGTTTTCCTTGCTTAAATCTAACACGGGTTCTTTTAGGACTGTTACCCACCCATCCTAGGCCGCTAAATGGGGCGGTCTTTGGTGGTTCAATAAAGGTCAGATCCGAATGGGCAAAAGTTTTCCAAATCTGTCAAGGTAGCAACTGCTAGAAATTATCTGAGGTTTGGTCACTCAATTCAGTTTCATATATATTCTTTTTTAATCCTCAATCACTTACGACCTCGGAGTAGTATCTCTTATAACTCATGAATAATTGAGGTACTAAATCCATGCATTTCGATATCTGAGATATCTTTTCTATACTAAGGCTAGTGGACCAAGACCTTACTCGCTCTTTATCTTGTTAACTCCATAGGTCTCTGCTGGCTCCCTAGGAGGTAGATTACCCCATGCGCTTGAATAGGCGTATTCCTTACACATCTCTAAGAGGGCTAGCATGAGTGGTTTTATGTCCGGTTCTCCGGGTTGACGAGTGTTATTTAACACGAAAAGGATTGTTTTCCACATTTCAATAAAGCATTGCCACTGGATTTGACCGAGGCCCAGATCCAAATTGTTGGTAATGTCTCTGCCCATTAGGCGGTGATTGAATTTGTTCAGCTTGCGAATGGCGTGTCTTGCTGCTTTAGGTGGAATTTGGTTTTCTGTGATCGGGTTGTAAAAGCTAACAGGTAGATTGTCAACTAAAGTAGAATTTTTGGTATATAGATGCCGAGTCGCTTCATGATGTGCCTCTAGATGATATTGAGATACGTAGGTTTGGTTTCTTGCATCTTTGTGGGCGACCTATTGTGTGGTTAAAGTTAGCATGAACTTGTGGTAGACGCTCTTGGTAATTCTGAATACGGCGACTGAGTTTCGGATCTTGATCCGTAGCTAGGGTACCAGTGAAATTAAGCCTAAGCCCTAAGCCTAAAACTCACGCCTCATGATAGAGGGTAGAAAGATAGAAAGATAGAATGAAACAATGAAAGAATGAAAGGAAGAAAGAAAGGAAGGAAAGAGGAAAGAAAGGTCAGACAGCCTGGACTTAAAATGACGGTTTCTGAGAATAATAATGTGAGAATAGGAGAGAAGAAGCAGTTATTATATCCAAGACAGCTTGCAATGTGTTTCTTTTGGCATCTCCACCACAGCCTCAAGTTAGTAGGCTAGCCAAAGTGCCAGAATAGTGCTAGAATAGCACTCCGTACCTAGTCTAACATGCTGGGAAACTCTATTTCAAAATCTTTAATCACTGTTCTGTGATGTTAGAAAATTGACAGTCACAGTTAGGCTACATTGTATGAAAAAAACTTACTGTCACCACTATCCGTTCCAGCAAAGTTCAGAAATAAATAATCCAGTTCTGTTACATTCGATATTGAAATGTACTGGAATAGATAATACCAGGAAATCACAGTAACTGGTCAAGCAATGCCCGGGCACTGCTCTCAGCCATGACGCCGATGCCAATGCAGCGTTTCCCCGTTTCAATTGAATCCCGCCGCGCGCGGAGGTCCTTTTCTGCCTCCTCGACTCGTTTCTCCCACGTGGAAATATCGATCCCTGACCTGGTCTCGCGCAGGAAATCTGTTAGCCCGCCTACTACCTCGACGAGATTATCGACAGGGATGGGTCTTTGCTGTTGTTGCTCGGGTGCAATCTCGGCAGAAGTTCGACGGATTCTGACAAAAGAGTATCGTAGAAAGACATCGTCATCGTCGCTTGAACTGCGGCCTTGTTGGTCCAGAAGAAGCACCCAGCTGCCGGGGTGTATATCTCTGACTCTGACTCTTGACTCATCATTTGCTGCGAGGTGGTTGCCAAAGAATCCGGCGGGAATGGGACTCACAGCGAACCGTCCCGACGATGGCGATGGCGGCGGTGACTTGTCGTCGTTGGTGGTGGTGGTGACTGACGAGGAGGCCCCCCCGTATGCGAATCGCAAGATGGCCTTGTTAGAACCCGAACCCACGGAACGGAGGTATGATAGAAATCGGACGGCAAAGCGCTCGGCGTCTAGAAGGGTGTTGCCCATGGTGTAGTAGTAACTATTCTGGTGGTCTGCGTCTGCGACATCTTCGCGCTGATTACTCACAAACGTGAACATGTGTATCACGGGAAAGACTTGGACGACGGAGGAAGTGAAAGTGACACTAGTAGTCGAGGGCGACGTGAACTTGCCGCTGCGCAAGTACGTCGAAAAGGCGTAAGTCGGATAGATGGTTTTGTCGCGGAGCCACCCCAAGTCTCCTGATGACCTTTCCTGCAGCAGCAGCTGCGTGCAGAAACGATCGGAGGCGTCGTCGCTATCCCTATCCGGTCCCTGCAAGAAACAGAGCTGTTTGAGGGCCGTGGACTGCGCCAGGGCCGCTGCTAGATCACCGAGGTCTCCCTCGCCTCCCTCCAGCTTGAATTTATCGACGCAGAGGCTGAGTGCAGACGCGCCCCGAAGCTCGTCGGATGCAACGGCGGCAGCGATCAGGCCGGGCGCGACGTTCCTAAACGCGACCCAGTTGAGGTGCGTTTGTCCAGCGTACGCAACGCGCAGAATATGGCCCGAGGCCTCGGAGGACGGGCCCAGGCTGTCGGGCACCTCTTCGAGCCGCCGCCGTAGCTGCTCGCGGAACTCGGCGAGCTTTTGGAATTTGCCGATTGTCTTTTCGTCGAGGTGGAGGTCGGCGAGCTCCTGTGTGAGAATCAGCAGATTATCGATAGCGCGGTCTATATGCGCATTTCGCGGCGGCTCGTGTGACGTGGTCAAGCGCGAGCCTATTGTGGACGATGCATCTTTGGCGCGGTCTATGTACGCATCTCGCGGCGGCTCGTCGGACGTGGTTAAGCGCCAAGGTGATGAGGTCGATGTACTTTTGGCGCGGGTAGTGGACTTTGAAGGCCAGAAGTCTGTTATATGAGTTAGTAAATGCGGTAGATATGTGTGAGCATGGAGAAGCGCGAGTAATTCACAGACAGTCGGAGATGCTTGAGATGACACCTTGCGAAGATGCTTTACCCTGATTTTCAACTCTAGCCTGATTTTCAAGCTCCGGCGGCCAAATGTCTACCATTCCTAAGTCAGCACATGCATATCATCCTGATCCCACAGGCGGACAGATGGCGTGGAAACAAACGTACAGTCCAAGGCTGCAGCATCAATAAGCGGCCTATCCTCCAGTCTCAGGACGCTGGGTCCCGCGTCCAGGCTCATGTAGTAGAAGTACTTGCGTAGCCACCGGAGAATAGACAACGGCACTCGAGGCCGCGGGCTGATGAGTATAATGTCAGGCTCCTTCTTAGGCGGGGGGTCTTCAATAGGATCCCAGCCACCCTCCTTGCAGTAGAGGGTAACCTCGGCCATGTAGCACACGGGGAAACCAACGATGCCGTACTTGACGCCGCTGTCGAGGTCGGAGATATCGAGAACGACAAGGCCATACTCGGTGCAGTCGCCACGGAACACAGTCGATAGCGGCTGGAGCTGGACGTCACCAGGGCGTGTGCTGTTGCTATGAGTGGCATTAGCATCGCCATCTCTATCATCGCGCAACAACCCGAGCAAAAGGCATGTCGTTGTAAAGGGGAACTCGGTGAGCGCGTCATCATGCCATGGCAGCTCGGGCAGTATTTGCGGCTGCTCCCGCCGCCAGGAGCCATCAGGCACGATGAAAGGGGGCTGCGGCGTGTCTGGAATGGTGGGACGCTCAGTACTCTCGGTCTCGTTGCCCCCCTGAGACCGACGATACCAGCCCTCCGCGAGCGCCCTCTCCGCCTCGAGCGGCGCGCGGTTCATGGGATCCGAGAGGATTTCGATCAGCGCGAGGGTGTCTGCCACGACATTCTCCACGCGTGCCCGAGATGACGCTGAGGCGTCCCTGTCGTTGCCCTGGCGGTAGGCCACGGCCAGGGAGCGGCTGGCGCCACGGGGGCCGACATTGGCGACGACGGAGAAGAGGAAGGAGCGGGGACTCTTGGAGTATAGACACTCGTATCCGAGCATTATATTGTTTACAAGAGGGGGCGATTGACATAAGTAAATCGTCCAGATAACAAACAGCGGGGAAACGAGGAGAGGAAAAGTGCATCAGCCTAACATTTAGTTTAGAGCAGCCTAGTTTAGGCGTCTGGCAAAAGACGGCTAGCCTAGGCCTAGCAGGACAAAGTAATGGGGCCAAGCGATGGCGTCTTTGACTCTTTTTCAGGTTCTGGTTCTTCTTTTGAGATTGAACACTACAAATTGACCTAGGATATTATTAACTCCTCTTAAATCCCATCTATTTACAACACGCGATTATCTGATGACGTTTGTCTCCTAAGGCGGGGGTGGAGAGGGCTCACGTCGTGAGTCCCCGAGCGTCGGGGATCTCTCTTTAGAGGTGTCGCTACAATGTAGGCTTATGTTCCAAGGCAAAGATCCTTGTACTCAGCCAAGAAAACAGGTCCAAGCGGCTGTCGGACCCATATCTCGGACGCTAAGTGCTAACCTCCGCCCAAGTAGTGGTCCGCGGATCACTCTGAGGTCCATAAGCCACGATGTTCGACTAAGGAATCTTCTCTTGACTTACGTTATACGTGAAATGTATTAGTTTCTATTGGTTAGGGTCGTAGTATTAGATTAACCTCTAGTGCATGATACGGAGGTCCGTAGCCTATCACTAGAAGTAGGTAGATAGAGTCTTTTGAGTTCTGTTAACCCGGGATTATTCTGTTACCTCGCATTTATGATGACACCAAGTTTAGGAAAAGTCCAGGAAAAACTGGGTGAATACGGGATTAAAATATTACATTAGACTCGAAAATAATGGCCAACAGT